GATTCTCCAAAGTGCTCTTCCTGACTGCAGATTCACAGAAGGGTTGAGGCTGGAAGGCACTTCTTGAGGTGCCCAACTCCCCTGCTAAAGCAGGGCCATCAACAGCTGATTGACTATGACCATGTTCAGATGTTTGTTGAGTATCTCCAAGGATGGAGACTCCACAATGTTCCTGGGCAACATGTGCCAGTTGGGCACTCACCCTTACAGTTAAAAAAAAAGTGTTTCCTGATGTTCAGAGAGAACTTCCTATGTTTCTGTTTCTGCCCAATACCTCTAGTCCTGTCACTGAGCACCACTAAAAATAGCTTGGATCAGCCTCCATTGCACCCTCCCTTCTGGTATTTGGTCAATGATGTTCCATGATCCTGATGGTCCATGCTGATAACATGGTGCTAGTTTTGCTTTGTATCTGGGTACAAAAATGCTTTGAAGGACAGATAAAATAAGTAGTAAATGCCCTCCTGAAGTGCATTACTGTGTACACTTTGCTTAGAACTGGCACAATAAAATAATTCTGGGGGAAATGGTCCATGTGACCATGAACAGAACAAAGGCAGTAATCATCGTGAGCCTTGTAATAAGAAAATAGGAGAAAGATTTTTTTCAGAAAGCAGAGATGGAGTGTCCCAAGTTGTTTTAGAAGGGGAAACATGTCAGGAAAATCAAATTAATGATGTGCTAACCAAATAAATACATAAAAATAGCTCCTTTACCTCTGCTAAATGAGAATTCATCGCCAATGACATTGAGTGCACCCTCAGCAAGTTTGCTGATGACACGAAGCTGTGTGGTGTGGTTGACATGCTGGAGGGAAGGGAGGCCATCCAGAGAGACCTTAACAAACTTGAGAGGTGGGCCAGTGCCAACTCATGAAGTTCAACAAGGCCAAATGCAAGGTCCTGCACCTGGGTCAGGGTAATCCAAAGCACAAATACAAGTTGGGTGGAGAACAGATTGAGAACAGTCTTGAGGAGAAGGACCTGGGGGTGCTGGTTGATGAAAAGCTCAAGATGAGCTGGCAATGTGGGCTTGCAGCCCAGAAAGCCATCCATGTCCTGGGCTGCATGAAAAGAAGTGTGGCCAGCAGGTTGAGGGAGGTGATTCTAAGCCTCTGCTCCACACTTGTGAGACCCTACCTGGAGTACTGTGTCCAATTTTGGAGCCCTGAACAAAAGAAGGACATACAACTCTTGGAGCAAGTCCAGAGGAGGGCCATGAAGAAGATCATAAGGCTGGAGCACCTCTCCTATGAAGGCAGGTTGAGGGACTTGGGGTTGTTCAGCCTGGAGAAGAGAAGACTCTGCAGAGAACTTACAGCAGTCTTCCAGTACTTGAAAGGGCTTACAAGAAAGCTGGGAAGGGGCTTTTTATGAGTAGTGACAAGATAATGGTTTTAAGCTGGAAGGTGGTAGATTTAGGTTAGATATTAGGAAGAAATTATTTTCTGTGAGGGTGGTGAGACCCTGGAACAGGTTGCCCAGGGAAGCTGTGGATGCTCCCTTCCTGGAACTGTTGAAAGCCAGGTTGGATGGGGCTTTGAGCAACCTGGTCTAGTGGGAGGTGTCCCTGCCCATGCAGGGGGGTTGGAACTGGATGATCTTTAAGGTCCCTTCCAACCCAAACCATTCTATGATTTGTAACAATTCAGCTACTGGGAGGCCTCAGTATGAAGTCTACTTTGCTTAAATGGGGGAAGGTAGGCAAGACAGGAGAAAGAAACTGTTAAAAATCAGCCACAATTTTTGTATTTTCCGAAGCATTATTAGAAAACTATGACAATAGTAATTGTGGCAAAGCTTGTACCTCCTGCCTCCTTACAAAATTTGGTTTTATTTTTGTTAATTAGTTTTAACAAACAGAGCTCGAGACTTGTGTGGAAGCAAAAAAGGGTGGGGGAGAAAAGCAAGCTATTTTAAAAAGCAAACGCTGAAGGAGGGGAGCTCTTCAAGGATGTCTGCTTAAGAGGACAAAAATATTTAAGAACCAAAACAGCCCAAGTCTGTCTCTTATATTCATAGGGGGTTTTGCAGGATAGTTCTGAAAATCTTTGCTTGTAAGTTTTGTACCTACTACTAAACCACACACCAACTGGGCTGATGCAAACCTTTTTGCAGCAGAAGGAACAAGCATGAGTGGGTGAGTCACAGATTTCAAACCTGGAGTAATTAAAGCAGAAGTTCTCCCATGAAGATGCCGGGCACTTGCTCAGCAAGGGAAGCATTACTTTTTTTTTTCTTTATAACCCCCCCAGCCCAAGACATCCCCCCATGCAGTGCTGCACTCAGGCAGCCCAGCACACACACTGGGGCCAGCAAGCTGGAGGGCACAAGAGCATGTGTGTGCACCTCTTTGAGCAAGGGGGGAACATCACTGCAGCCTTTGAGTGGCTCAAACTGCCTCTGCAACCCATACTCTTAATAGCAGTGAGGTGTTTTGTTCAGTTTTAAATACTACTCGTGTCAGAAAGACTGCATGGATAGTCTGCAGGATCAATCTTCTGCCTGCATTTTTTTTTGCAGAAGAAAGCTGACTCCAGGTTTCCAAGCATCTGTCACTATATTCACAGGCAAAGACCATGCATAACACATAAGCATTATAGTTTTCTAGCACACAATTGCAAAAATGCTTCAGAAAGCCAAACTTGACCTCTATGTGGCCAGACACTGAGATTTTGCTTCAACCCAAGAATTTATTAAGACATGAAAATAGTCCATCTTAACATAGTACACCTCGGTAGCATTTGAATACATATTTACAGATTTATTTGAACTTTTCCGAACTGCAATTCTACAACTGAGCAACATATCCATAAGTGTTTCATAAACTTCAAACACTTACATATTTATACATATAGTTTTTGCATATATATATAAAAAAATATTTCTGAAACTCAAGGACTGAGAGTAGTCAAAAAGACATTATTGCTACATTTCCATATTTACAAAAAAAAAAAAAAAAAGCATAAACCCATTCAAAACACCAAGCCATTGCAAAATAAGTTTCAAAATTCCCCAAATTATAAAAATATAAATTTCAAGAACGAAAAAACCTAAACCTCTTTCAGCTAAGTGTCCATAAAGTACCGAGACATCTATAATTATAATAACTAATTTGTCTACAGCTGCTCTGAAAGCCAACACATTACGAAATAGCTTTTATAGCATTAAACTGAAAATGCTCAACAAGTATGCATAAGAGTGCCTCCAAACAACTGGATTAACTTTGGAAAGGTGCAACAGTCTAAGTTCAGTGCAAATGGCTAATTTTTTACTTAACTCTGAAAGACAGATTCCTGTAACAATAAACCAAATGCACAGTCGTATAAGGAGCGTGGTATTCTGCATAATCCAAAATATACTACCAATGTGTGTATTTACCTTGCATTTGGGCAATTAGTTACATATTTAAATTGCATGTAAACTCAACCAAAATTCTGGTAAAGTATAAATTACAGAGTGCTTAAGTGCATTGTAAATAAATAGGTAATTAACTGGTACTCTGCTTCTGACAAAGGCTTCTAGCAATGCCTTTGCTAATTTCTTGGGGACAGAAACAAAGGAAGAAAAGAATTAGCACTGTTTCCAATGGGAAGAAAAGGGGTTGGAAGATACAGGAACATAACCCTGGGCTCAGCAGACACTGACCCCAGAGCCCAGTTTGACATGTCTGTCAAACAGGACTGAAACAATTATCTTTCTTTTATCCCATTTATGAATTCAGCATTTCCCACTTAGGCTCTTCTTTGTTGTGATCTCTGGATGGGTATAGAAAGATGAAATTACTCAGGGTGAGGGAAAATAGCCCTTTCCAGTTAGCACTATCCAAGCCTGCCCGTGGGAAAGATTCACCTGGGTAGGACAAGATAAAGAAAGGGCCCCCAGGAGAGAAGTTTTTGCCTCTGTTTTTGCTTAGATAAGATGACTCGTTCAACGGCCTCTCCTCCAGATACAGTTTACTGGAAGCAGCCCTCCTCCTCTGTACTGACCAACTCAGCAGGGCCAGCCTATCTTTGGTGAACAGTTCTGGACATAACTATCAGCAAAACAAGCATTGCAGCCCTCGGGCTCCCAAGGCAGAGGGACAAGGGAACAGTTCAGACTCTGTAGTGGGGTGAGAGCCAGTGATGGGCAGCTCCATCCCTGGTGGAGAACAGGCCAGTGAGAAGTAGTGGATACACCCATGGGAACCTCAGGATGGGTCTGCAAGGCTAATAGTGCAGGTAGAAAGTAAAAGATGAAGATCCACACTCCTCTGGTTCAAACCCCAGAGTTCCCGGTGATGTCAGTAGGCAGCGTTAAAGAGTCACAAACTGAGTGGCTATAATGAGCTCTATTTTGAAACCATAGCAACAAGAAAGGAGGGTCCCCATGGTTAGATGCCCAAAGCTGTATTTTGTGGGTAACTACTGTTTAGAAGCAGGCTCTGTAACAGGATGAAAAACTGATCAAGATTGACTAAGAACTTAGTGGTAGCTGACAGGATGAAGATACAGCCTCTAGCTACCTTAGCTAATTTTAATGCTAAAAATCACACCCCTTTGTGGATCTAATCCAGTAACCTTCCTAAATGTTTTAAACATGAGTTTAGATGCATATATAGGAGTTAAGCGTGGTAGACAAATCACTGGAAACCAATCATGTATTTTGTTGTGATTTTCCTTTGTTACCATTTCTACATAAGGCCCAACTGTCTCCCGAAAGGTGTACTGCCTGATGCTAAATGCCTGGCACCCTACTCTGCAGACTAGAAATAAACAGTATCTCAACTCAATGTGTTGATTGGCTTACTGCATACTGGGTGAAGAACCCAGATTTGGGACAACACCAGGAGCGTTTGCTGCTGCGCAGACCAACTTTGGTGAGTTTGGAAGGATCTCAATCCTTTCACCTCTCTTGTCCAGACACATCCAGCACTCCTACTAACATGCAATACCCGAATGGGAAAGCTTCTCAGGCTTGGATGGACATGGAAAGGGGTTTGCAAAGCCATTAGCTTCATATTCATTTATTTCTTAAATTCAGCAAAACAAGATTAACTAGAAAATTACTGTATGCCTTTCAGGCACAGATCCAGAGAAGGATCACTGCACACTTGGTTTGATCTGCAGTTATCTTGTTCCACACCCTGGCTCAGGATTTCTTTTGTTGGTTGCTGTTTGTTTGTTTTTCTTCAGATCTGGCTCTCTACTGCAAATACACACAATATAGCAAAATATATACAGCTTCAGTTAACATTGCAATGATGCCTGTAACCGTGCTCAGCAGATTAACTTTATGTGTAACAGTGTGTGGTAAAAGACAGTATTACAACAACATTTCAGCTACACAGTAGTAGTAGTGAGTAAAAGTAAGAGAAATTATTGAAGTCTTCCCTCTCTCACCCCCTGCACCAAACAAACAGTTAATACATCTGGCCTCCTCTTCTTCCAGATGCCACTCAAACATCTTCACGTACCAGGAGAGGCTGAGTAGATGAAGCACTGCTACCCACCGAGTTAATCCTCACTGAATGATCTGGAACATTTCCTTGACTGGAAGGTGGAGTTGAGAAGTTTGCATAAACCTGCAGAAACCAAGGACAAGTGTCAATGCTCTGCAGACTGCTCTCTTCATGCATGGAGAGCTCTCCTTTCCTAGCCTTTTCCACTGTGCACCACACAGCACTGTGGAAGTCTCCAGCTCAGGTGTTTCTTCGCAAATCTAAAGAGATTTTCAAAAGGTCTGGGGCTTAACTGCTCTGTTAAAGAGTTAAGAACCTCAGCCTCAGTTATTAACAACACCACAGCTTCCAACTGCACACCAAATTTCAACTGAGCTTGAAAAAACATGGCTCAGGTTATTACTAAAATCCCCATGAAACTTCACTAATATTTCCCTCGCATTCTTGCTTTTGTTTAGTAATGCCTGCACCTGCCAAAAATATGCTACAGGATGCAATCGAACACCAGCAGCTTTCAGTTTCCTCTTTTCTCAAATTGTCAGGAAGCCATGTACTCTGTGCCCAAACAAGGCATCTGAAAGGTAAAAGGAAGCTTTATTTTTAAACCAGGTTTTAAACTTACTTTTTTAAACCCCAGTAACACACAATGTTCCAGCAAGAGAAAATTCAGGTTTCTAATGTGGCTCCAGTTTTTCTTTGGACCGTTCTGTCTAGTTACCCTCTCAGAAAAAGCTTTTACTAGGGAATTGTCAAAAGACCAGAGAACCACTTGTCATGACTTACCTTCAAGGCTATATATAAATAAGGCTATGGGAAGCAAGTGACATGAGGCAGAAAAGCACTGAAAGTTCAATCACTTCACCCAGAAAGCTTTTTTACTAAAAGCTAAATATACTTCACTTTGGAGATGTTTACTAGACTAATAATTTTTTTCATCATTTACGATAAGATTAATTTATGCAGTACCATTGCATTTTGTAACATTAAAACTGTTGTACCACATCTATTTTGAGTGACAAACACCAACCAAGCAAAGAATCTTCTCCAGCTGGTACGTTTTGGGTATGCCCTTAGACAGCTAATGTCTGATTGCACAAATAAGCAGAAGTGAGTCACCCAGGAATCACTCCTACCACCCAAACTGATAGTGCAAAGCTAAATAAATGATACTGGAAAATTAATGAAGCGCCCATGCTCTATGCTCTTCACAGCTCTAGTCTGATATCTTGCTTGAAACTGCTCTGACTCCAAAACAACTGATGATCCATAACTTACCCGCGGGGCATGATCTGAAAGCTGCTGCTCTATAAGCTGTACAATTTGTTTAAATGTGGGTCTCTGTAAAGGATCAGCATCCCAGCAACTCTTCATTATGTCATACCTGCAAAGAGACTGAAATTAAGTACTGCTCATGAAGAAATTCTTAGAGCTCTTATCTCACCTGCATTATTATTTGAAAGAAGAGTGTGAGCAGTCCCACAGTTTACCTCCTTTAAATTATTTTTAAGAACAAAAATAATGCTGCTAACACCTGTGACCTGTGACAACAAAGGACTCACTACTAATGGGAGTCTCTGGACACAGTTTTATTTGACAGCTTGTTAATTGCCAATTCATTTACAAAACTTGGGATTAGGGATGGCTCATAAAGAAGATCTGTAGTGCTCTTGCTGTCAGAAAGTACACCACAAATGCCGTTACTGTACAGTCTGGTGATACATTCCACTGACTGTGTTATCTTAATTAAAAAGGTTTAATTATATTCTGTGATCTGTCAATAATTTATTGACATAGAGCAGATGCCATGACAAAGTGATCAGATGGTACAAGACATGAGTGTATTTTCTTGCTTGTAACAACACAGGCATGTATTCTGCTAGTTAAGAGTACATGAATTATTTAAAAACATGAAAAGAACTTGAAAAAAAGACAATGGGGCAGTGCAATGAGACTTAATGCAAGAATGGAAGCTTCCCTTCCTTTGCATCATTGCTCATGTTTGATGATTTGAGGTGCTAGTTGCTCACTTACATTTCAGGTGGGGCACACTCAGGGCTGAACATCCTGTATCCCTCCTTGATCATTTTGTAGAACTTGGAGTCGACAGGCATCCCTGGATATGGGCTGCTTCCTGTTGAGAGATCATGTTAGCAACATGATTTCTGCATCTGGAGTAAAACCAAGATGAAAGAGAAATCCCCTGAAGTGCAGATCTTGAAGGAGCTTACCTAAGGAAAAGAGCTCCCAAAGCAATATCCCGTAAGACCAGACGTCACTCTCAAAGGTGTAGACACAATTGAAAATACTTTCAGGTGCCATCCACTTCACAGGAAGACGAGCCTTTCCAGGGAAAAGGGAACAAACTCAGACAAAGGACATCAGGAATTCAAAATTTACAAGATAAAGTTCACCTTTGCTACTTCTTATGTGCATTAGGTACTCCTTAAATCAAGAAACAGAGGTATCCAACCAAGAATGAAAATCTCAGCATTGTAGAGTCTCCAAGGGTTGTATCGTTATTGATCCATCTTTCTCCAGCTCTACCAAACTCAAGCAATTCTTTGCACTCTGATTTTCTGTATAAGGTGTGATTCCTTCTGTTTTGTTTATAAGGAATGGCAGGAAGTCAGAACAAAACAATATATATGATCATGGCATGGTTCCTCATGCAAATATGCAAGTCTGTTTCTATGGACTGGCTACCACAGGCACAGAGATGATATTCACATAGTCAAGGTCCTTCAAGGCTTTAAGCGAGAGTTAAGACACCTACTTCAGCTCCTCTGTGTAACAGGACAAAAAAAAGTCACACAGAAGAAATATATATTGACATTTTTCATAAGTTTCTGTGGGGACAGACAGCCCTTGGGAATGCTAACTGGAGTGCAGGAAAGGGCACAGAAAGCCTTTGGATTTGCTTCCACCTTCCTCTCCCTGCTTTGCCCTTTCCTTGCCTGACTGTAGGAGCCTGCCAGGCTTTTGCCCTTAGCATTCATCCTGCTGTGGAAGAAATTAGACCTCTTCCTTTTAAGTGGTCTTGCAACAATGTGTCCAAAGACATATTTCAACCATACTATAGAAAAGACCTTTGATGTCTTTTAAGGAAAGGAGACCCAACAGAAAAGGAGGAAAATAGAAGGGAAAATAAATGAGGTGGAGGAAAGGCAGCATTTGCCATGGGCTGGCTTACCAGAGAGGCAACCAGAGTTGTTTATTTCCTGAACAACACAGACAGCAAACACTCTTCTTGGCCAAGCCCCCAGCTGCTGTCAGCTGCACTGCCTCCCAGCAGCATCCACAGCAAGCAATGCCCAAGAAATCCTGGTCTGCTTTAAGATCAGCCCAGATGCAACTGGATGCCTCCTGCAGCCACTGCTTCCTCTCTCCCCAGGCAGCTGCAGCCTATCCTCCTCTGACCCTTTCAAACCCTATGTAAAATCCTATTGTCAGACAACTCAGGAGACTTACAGGGTAGCCTAGATGTGTAAAACTTCGTTACTTACTGCCCGATTCCCTCCTAAGCTGACAGTCTGCACTTCCCACTCCCAGGAGCCTTGACTGATCAAGCAGCTCTCCATCTGACCCTGAGCCTGAAAGCAGCTTTCTTACACTAAATGCCACTCAGTATTTTGCCAGGACAGACATTCCTGAATTATTCTGCTTTTGTTGTTTCCTAACCTCAACTTTTAGGCACCTAGTGGCTGGTACCAACATTGGTTTTGAAGACAACCTATAAACCTGTCTCTCCTAAATATATCTCCCGCCTAAAATAGGGATGCTGTAGGTACCTGGGACATCAGGGTCTGCTGGGTGCCAGCAGACCAGCAGAGGTATCTCAGATACCTGAGGTGCCATTGACTGACCGAGGTTAACTGAGTGTGGCAAACTGCTTTGGTGAGAAATGCTCAGGTGTGGGATTTTCGCATCTCATCAGCTTGCCCAAAGCTAGGATGGTCAAGCTTCAGTTCATGTGTTGTCAAGTCCCTCACTAACAACCAGCCCCTGAGCACTCAAGGGCGCTGGGGAGGAGGGCTGCTGTGTTGAATGTAAGATCTTCTCTCCTTTGAAAAACTGTGCAAGTGAAATCACATGTACTCTGAAGGCAGTGTCTGCCTGTACATATTTGGCACTGACTTAAAACACTAATCCAGGTAGTGCAAATCTGTTTGAGGTGCAAAATACCTGTACTTTTACCACACTTGTCCAGCTTAGCCACAGACAAGCTCTATTTCTTTTGTAGCAGGGCTCCTTTTACTGCACTAGCACTTTGAAGGGGATTTCAGGTGCTGCCAAAGTAACCTGCATCACTTCAAAGTGTCTTTGTACCCCCTCCAGAGGTCTAGGAGGTTCTATTCTAGTGTGACTGGTATTCTTCTACATGAGAGCTATAGACTTTTCTCATCAAAATATAGTGTCTTGTTCTAACGCTGTTACAGAGTTAAAACTATAGATGCAAGTTAAAGCTGTATTTTTTACACATACAAAGTTAAATTCTCTATATGGAATCAGAGAAAACCAAGGCTTAGTTAGATATCTAAAGATAAACTGTTTCAGAAATGGACAAATACAGCAATGCTCAAGAAAAGTTTTAAAATAATTCTTTTTAGGATTGGGGTACCAGACAATTTCAATGGCAAAACTAGCAATTACTCACAGAGCTGTAACTTTTAGTACATTCAGATGTAACAGAACGACTGGTTGCTATATTGGTACAGCAAAAACATCTCCTCCAGTACAACATACATTCTGACACCAGCCTGTTTTTTCTAGTATAACAACATGTGTATACGAAAGGTTTTGTCAGCGCACACATCTACATCAGGAACTGCCCCTTCTAACATTCCTGACGAGCATGGGAACATACCAAAATGAATAGAAATCTGTATTTCCATCTAACTAAGAAAGAATTTTCTTCGCAAGGCAAGACAACAGGAACTCCCTTAACTTAAAGCAGGTGAATAAAGCATCATATATACTTACATTTCCTTTGACCACATAATTTGAGTCATTCCTTATATCTCTTGCCAGGCCAAAGTCACAGATTTTTGTTATTCGACCGTGAGTGAGAAGAATATTTCTTGCAGCCAGATCCCTATGAATGCACTAAATAACAAACAGACAAACAAACAAAGCTATTTTATAAAACCCTTAATAGGCTGTTGCTTGGTTACATGTTTACTCAGCTATATAACTTCAAGTATTATGCATTTTATGGCAAGCTGAAAGTCGAAACAAAGCCATGTGTTAAGATTACTCAGATGATTATAAACATTCTGGTGTAGTATCTTGACTATCATGACACTGATCCACACAATTAAGGTTGCCTATGCATTTAATTTAGAAAAGACCACTGGCAGTCACTTTGAATTTTCTAGTGTTTCACGTTTGCAGCTGAATATTAATATACTTTTTCTCTGTATTTTTATCAAAAAATGACTGGCCTGTTTTCTAATGCAGGACAAATAAGGAGAAAATGTGGTTTATTTCTAAAATAATTCCAACCTTTTATTAAGGGTTAAGTGCTGAAAAGTTGAAAAGAGGGAAAAATAAGGTGCTTCAAAGCACGGAAGTCTGGAAACTGAATCCCATTTCAGAAATACTCTGGAAATTTTCACATGCCAATATCTTTCAATGAACAGTCACGCTTTCAATGATGTAACTAGTTTATATTCCAGTTATCACCTGAGAAGTACGCATGTGTTTGTAAGTGTAGCTCCAGATGGATGCCTGAATTTCCCAGCAATCATATTTTCTTCATATGTAACTGTGGAGTGTTTGTTACAGAATGGAGGTAATTGTCTAATAAAATTATCTCTTTTTCCATCTGGAAAGGACAGCACAAAACTCCCACTTTATTGATGCCATATAGTATTGATAACTATGCAGGCCACGGCTGTCTAAAAGTAGATGAAGATGGTTCAATTTTTCTTGTTTGCTTGAAATACAAAACTTCAGGAATTCCCTATAATATATTACTTAAAATATCAAGAATTATGCAGCTCAAACTCAGAAAGCAACTGCAGGTTGCATAAGCAACCTAATCCCTGTCCCTTTTGCATGTGTACACCAGGAACTAGTTTTAATGACAGTGTTTCAGGGGACTCTTCTGCACCTCCCAATCAAACATATTCTTCACTTTGCATATGGAAATTAATGCACTGAAGCAGTGAAGGAATGTCCAAGCATCCAGTATGTCACTGCCTTGTTCCTCCAGCAACAGTGCAGTTTGCACTGAACAAAAACTTTGTTCATTGAAGGAAGCCCTGTCTTGTGATTAAGCACCGTGTGCTTAGTAAGAGAATTATCCCCCCAGGACAGACTCCTATACCAACTCACCCACAGAGGCCTTTTAATGCCTCTGAGCCTTGTCACACAAGGAAGTTGCAGAAGAGCAGATGGAAGTCTGTGCTGTGAGTCCGGGCAGGCCCTCGGTCCCCAAGGGCACAAGGCCATCTGAAGCACCTTATCCATCAGCCCACACTGCTCCTTTGCCCTTACTAGCTGGAGCTAAGAGTGTGCACATACACAACTACCAGAGTTGTTGCACAGTAACATGTTAGCACAGCACAATTTAATTAAGTCATAAAGCTGTTAATTCTGTCTGCATTGCCAAAATGATACTGCACATTACTTCTTGACCTCATGGGGAGGTAGTGTTAGATTCATTATTGCCTTTGCTACTCAATGCCAAGGTGTCTGTATCAATGGAAAGGCTATAAAGAAAATGGTCATCAGGAATGATGCATAGGGAATCCTGGGGCTATTCAGTAGCAAAATAAGAAGAAATATAGAATACGTGTGCTAAGGATTCAGTGTCCTGAACAGTGAAGAACGCAGGAGCCTGGTGAAAACCATTAAAATCTGTAATATATTGTGTTTGCCTCTCAGGCCTGGTTTGAAGATGTTGATAGATGAAAAATAAACTAAAGGGTTTAAAGGGAAGGAGGAACAGTGGGGGGAAAAGGCAAGTGCAAGAGCAAATACTAACATGGACCTCCTTTGTAGAAGAATTAGAGCCACATTTCCCCCTCTTAGTACAGCATAACAGGACTACCTTATTTTCCTTAAATTACCTAAGTTTATTTTTGTGCTTTAGCCAAGGTGCACCTGCACAACCCTGTCTCTATCTTATTTACAAGGTTTACATGTTAAATTACATTTTTCCAATAAAACTTTAACACAACCATAGGACAATAATAATTATGCTGAACTTAAGACTTCTATTCATTATAAATCCCTTTCTGTTAAGCAGTATCTCTACTTTGAAACCTTGCAAAATGTCTGTTATGCTCAGGGTATGACAAAGAAGATAATTTGTGGATTTATAGGCTGATTTTATCTTTCCAGAAAATTAAAAAAAGCTCACAATGTGACAGCTCCCTTGTTTAAGGCCGTACTCTTTATAAGAGAAGTAGAAAGTTCACTGTTGTTTAAAATTCATGCAAATAAATGGCTTTGCAGCTGCCTTCACACTGTTCTGCAGTTTGTAAACTCTCCAGCAGTGCCACAATGAATAAATCCTAAACTCTCCAGATTTCATTGTTTTTGAAAGCATCCACAGTTCTTTCATTAGTTCCATTTAATCCCCACACACCAGAGAAGCCTGAAGAAATAACTCCTCACAGTTCCTATGGGTTTCACTTTCTCCAAAGCCATCAGTTCTTATGAAACTACCTGGATGCTCCAGGAAATGAAGGGCTAAAGTTCAGAGTGGTAAGAGGCACCACACAAGCTAGGCAGGATTCAGCTGCACTTGCTGTCTCCCAGCACATGACATTGTCAATCAGTGAAGTCTGTGGTGCACTAAACACACTTCATTGCAATTCCTCTCTTCTACCACCTCTCTTGACATTTTTATGACTAGTTTCTGTTCGCAAACAAGGCCACTGATGCTACTAGCCTGAACTGTAGACACACAGTAGCACTGCTTCAGGTTGACTATAGTGCATCCTATACTCTGTTTTATGGGATATAAACCACAGCTTCTGACCAATCAGCACAATGCAGACCACCAACATTAGCCGAAGCTTCAGGTATGAGAAGGAGCACATCAGTTGGCAATGCTTGTTGAAAGAATGCGGAAGCATTTCAACATGCAGATAACATTAAAACACTCTAAGTGATGATGCCAAAAACATCAGAAATCTACTGTTCAGCTCTGACAAATTCTTAACTTACATTTTTGGAGGCAAGGAAGCTCATGCCTTTTGCCACCTGGTAAGAAAAACTTAGCAGATCTTCAACATCTAGTGCAAGTTCATCATCTTCCAACATAGAAAGGCTAACATCCTGATCGGCGTAGGATCCTATGCAATATAAACAACAGCTTTTGAGTAGATCAGGTATAATAATTTAGAAACAGATTTGTCTTAGGTTAAACAGACCAGTGATCTTAATAAATGCCAAACTAGAGTCACTGCCAAAAAGCGAAGAATAATCCTGATACTCCATTTAAATGTGGGGAAAAATCATGACGCTGTAATTTAGCATATCAGTCTTAAGCTTTCTCATATCAATTCAGGGGTTTTAATTGTCCTCATCCACAAGAGAAAAGCATGGAAAAAAAAATATTAAAAAAAATCCATTAAACCCTCCTCTCTGTACTCCCACCAGCAAAAAGAATTCTCCTTGTCATTGTACTCACCAGACTTCACTGGTCTTTTTTTATCAGGTTTTGGTGGGACTGAGTATGACACTCCTGGTTTCATGTCCATGTACTCATTGGCAACATCACTGTAAAGGCAGAAGATGAAATAAAACATCATTTAGTGAAAAAGGCCTCAGAAACGATTAAAACAAAAAGCCAAAGTTAAGCCAACCTTCTGAATATAATGCTTTACCAACAGTCAGTTGGTTGAAAACTTGGGGGTGTGTAACAAAGATTAGAAAATGCCTGTACAGAAAGCAAGGTTTGTCAGTACAGCTAAATGAAAGGTCTCAGAGTTCGGACTTTGGCTCAGGTAAACAAACAAAACCCTTCATAGGTCTGTTTATACAGACCTCATTCTCTGTAAATTAACATCCAAATGTTTCACAGGACCTGCTAGTGCTTCCTTATTCAGCTTAGGGCAACTTCTACCAGAATATTTCAGCAGCTTAAGTGGTAATTGAAATGCAGAAGACAAATGATAAAAAAGGCTAAATTCAGAGATTCTCAGGTTCCAAAGGGGATGCGTATGTATTTTACAGAATCAGCTGAGGCTTGGGACAGCCATCTGCTACTTTTAAGTGTTCTTATTGCTATCTGTAATTCAAATGTACAGATTTTTATACTGTATGGTTTATAAATATACAGTTAGGCACCTTTAGAAATGATAGATATACTTTGGCATTTTTCACTTCATTGCCATTAGAACTCATATACTTAGCCTTCCTTAGCCAGAAATATCTGTTTAGCTTATGAATGATAAATGCAGCCACAGAGCTAACACAGAAAGGAGTAATGAGATCACCAATAGCTTCCATCACCACCACAAACACATCTGAGGCATTTAGCAGCTGCAACTTTACAGTAAATACTAACGTGAGAATTTGGTAAATACTCTGCTGTTAATACCTCAGTTTACAAAATGTGCTGAAGCAGTGAGATTGAGGGCTGAAATGAGGGCACATGTCCAATGGCAAATCACAGATGTGTGTTGACTGCCTCAGGAGCCCTGATCTCCCTGAGGCATCACCAGCTACCCATATGCCGCCCCAGCAAAACAGATTCACCAGCACTACATCTGGCTGGGATAAAGGACTTTACCACCTCCTAAGGGTGTGCCTGGTTCTCTGTGTCTGCCAACACAAAGCAATGGGCCCCCGGGGGCAATAAACAGACTAAAAATAAAAATGGGCAGGTATTGTAACAGCCCCTAAGTTTGAGTAAGTTATGGCTCCCTCACTTTGCAAAGGGAAGGAGCGAGCAGGAAATCTGCTTGTAAACGTACTTGGAAAGAATACTGGGCTTGTATCTGAAACAGAGCGGTTAAAAATATACACACAAAGTTAACTGGAAAAAATCAAAGTACAAGAGCAATCTGAGAATCATGGCATGGGTCATGTCATCACAAAATCTAGTGAGCTATCAGTGGCAGCTTGTCTCTGATACTGTAAGGCTCTGGTTTGGTTTTTTAAGAAGTCATTTCTGAAGGCAGGAACTTAGAAGAGCTCAGAGTATTAACACCCCAACACTGGGGGAATTGTCATTCTGCTAGATGCCAGATGAGCACTGCCAATGTTTAAACGGAACAATAAACACAAATATGTACACAGATCAAATCCAAGGAGTTGCATGAGATAACTAAAGGAAATTTGATAAAGAACAGTGAGTGTATACAATCAATTGCACTCTGTTAGAATAAACCACTTGCTGTACTAATCATCTCTTTAATTAAATTGTTTCTTTGCACAGCAAAGAATCTTCAAGGCCTGCTGCATGAAAGGTTTCTCCACATATCTTATCCCTAACAAACTTTGCTATCTCCTCCTTCCAATCCTCTAAAGAGAGAAGTATATTTCATCAGGTTATACTTACGCCGCAGGCTCTGCCTGATGCAAAAGGTTCTCATAAACTGCTGTTTCTGTATGTTCTTCATGCTTTGGACAAATGAATGAATCTCGTTTCCGCCTCAGAAAATTTAAAAGATCACCATAGCAGCAATATTCTGTAATGACCAGAGTGGGACCTGTAGATATAGTTGAGTTTTAGAAAGCAGGTAAGTATTATTTTTAAATCAGAAAACCTTACATAAAGAAAGCATTCAGCCAAGCAACAGGGTGGGCTATTAAAAATCACACTGCCTAGCACTGTCTAGGCTTGAAAAGTTATAGAAAAGTAACCCAGCATCTTTTCTTTCACAGATCAGCAACAACTGCCCAGCTAAAGCTGTGTCACTCCCAATTCATTCCCCTGTTCACCCACTTCAATAGCATTGCACTGTACAAAAGATAAAACAAATAAGTCTTTTTTTCTTTCTCCATGTGATAATGTTTCTGGCCAGACACATCTGTTTGATTTTGCTCACTTCCTGAAGGAAGTTATTTGTTCCAAACGTAATTCAAGCTTCAAACATAAATCCTTTTGATTCACTTCTGTTTACAGAAGAGCTTCACACTCCTTCAGTAATGTTTTGGAAATGATGTAGAGTGTTATATTCTGCAGTATAATAGGAAAAATCATTCAATCAGAACAGCCTGCCGTGACAGAAAACTACATTGCACAAGGTCTTAGAATATTAAAATGAAATCGGAAAGGAGAATTAAGTCATCTCCAGCACGGATGTTTATAGATCAAATATATGTTTTCTGAGTGAATGACTCCAGCTCTAGGCCTTGAATATGTAATTACGCTACGTGCTGTTTCATCTATGCTGGGATCCTAAAGGTCTTTTCCAATATAAATGATTCCATGATTCTAAGCAATTCTAACTGTAAGGTTATTCTGTACCACTGCTTCCTAACCTCACTAGTTTATTTCCATTTTTCTGCAGTTTAAAATTATAGCTTTTGTAATGCCAAAAGCAGTGTTTGTGGTGGGATTTTCTTACGGACGCCATATTTTTCCAACTGAGGCAGACATGCAGTCAGGTCAGTGAGTCTGCATTGTTGACTGCTTAAGCAAAATAATTTAATCCTATTTTTAAATCATTAAATGTGAAAGTGAGAATTGTTTTGCCTCCATCTAAAACTGTGAATTTTTACAAGCTCCTTTTCTTTAAAAAATTAAATAAAGACTTAAAGAGCAAATATTTGTGTAAGAAGCAACACCATCTTTCATATTAAATGCACCTAGACTGAAAATACAGGACTGTATCACCCTGTATTGACATGGCAGCTGTTTTGTAGCTTTTACTATTCAGGAAAACAAACTTATTAAGTTAATAGTAAATATGAAACATTTGTTGTGCAATAGTTTATTTGGAAAATCCTCTTTCTCAACTTTCTGCTGCTTAGAATTTGTAACTTCAGTGGTGCCTTAACAGGTATCTATACAGTTTATAAACAGAATTCTGGAAGACTATACAAGACAAGCCTGTTGACTTCACCTTGGATATCAACAAGGAACCCATCCATATATCTTTATTTCTGAGAAACAATGTGGTTGAGGAAATAACCTGCACTGTACATTTTGGCAATTCTCAGTGCACAATGGCTCACATAAAAGAGAGTAACAGCAACCTTCCTTTTTAGCTGCGCCTACATTAGTCTCATTACTGCTTTCAGGATGAACCTAAAAATCTAGATTCAGGAACTCACAGACGATAGTCATGATAATCTGCAACCTGCCTAACCTAGAAATGTATTTACAATTCCTATGCTTAATGGTGCTGGATTATTCTTCACGAGGTTCTTCCTTCCGGCAATAAAAAAGAACAGAAATAATCAATAATCTGTTGATAACCCCACCTCCAATAGTGCAGGCTCCAAGGAGATTCACAATATTAATGTGGTTTCCAAGGTAACTCAGCACTTTAAGCTCTGACATCAAGGCTTCTCTTTCCGTTAAATGGGCACTTGCTGCAAGGCAAAGCAGAGTGTTCAGTACGTAACACACCGACCAGAAGGGAGTGAGGAAATATTGTACAGTATATTACAGCAACTTACGTTTCAACATCTTTACTGCTACTGTCATAGCAGCATCAGATTTAAATAGACCATAAGCTGTGGCTTCAACAACTTTTCCAAAAGCTCCAGCACCAAGGGTTTTACCTAGGAAAGCAAACCAAAATTCTCTGTAACAACTCAGAGCATTTCTTCCTGAAATGTTCAACATTTTATTTTATGACACCAAGGAAGCTATTACATATAGGCCTGCTTGCTTTTTGTCCCAGGGTAAGTATAAGCAATTACCACTATTTGCATTACTGCACAACATCTTTTTGACAGAACCCTGCTGTGTTTGACCGAAGCCTCATACTAGACCTGAAGGTTTCACACTGCAGATGAAGTTAAATAAATCTAAACTAACCAAAACTCAACCGGTTTCTAGGAAATTCCCATTTGTGATCATAAGGAAGTTGCGTTGGGTCTATGTAAACATAGTTGTTTCCATTTATTTCTTCAACAACTTTCCACTGAACTTCGTATTTCGGTTTCTGGAAAAGAAAGAGGACACCTGTCACGACCGAAGCCTCCACAGGCAGCTCACACACTTTCCTAGCACAGGCAGAGGGGCTTTTGATTTTACCTGCAAATATATATACACCAGGATCACGACTATGATGCACATGAGTCCTGCAGAGGCTCCAAATGCAATTAGTAAAGGAGTGAAAAGGGTATGGGTGCGGATTTGTTCTGGAAAGAAAGAGAAAAAAATCTGCTTAAATACCGAACAATAAAAACTATATTAAAAGATGCAGGTGAAAAATTTTCCTTGTCTCTTCCTTGTGAAACACGGTTTGGGGTTTTGACTTCCCCAGATGTGCTCCCGGTACATCAGAATGACTTTCCTGAAGGAGCTGTAGGGGACAGAGCTGGCACAGAAACCACCCAGTTTGTTGCTTTGGGAGTCTGAGCTTCGATCTGGGAGGTTCGACACCAAGATCAATTAATGGATGGGGTTGGCATTATCTCAGTCAAGTTAGGTAAAAGAAAGAAGCTAATTATCTGAAATCTTAATTTAATCTCTTTTCCCCCAGCTCAAACACGATCTTTACAGCACAGTCTTTACAAGTAGAGGTTGTGCTGAGTAATAAGGGAATATAATTCCAGTAAAACACATCTGCCCCAAATCTAGCTTATTTGTTTATATGTTATAACTGGGTGTAACAGAGAAAAAAGAAGCAGCAAAACATTTGATTTTGCAAAGAAGAGCACAGATTTGCAAACACATTTGGAGTCATCTATGTTCTAGTGCTTATTTTTTCCTCCCACAAACAAAAAACTCATCAGCCCTTTTGCAGCATGTTGTTGTTACTTCTTTTACAACAGCAAGGCCCTAGGCTCCAGGCAAGTTCAGTACCACATTTTTCCTGATATTCTGTAAAAACATTTTAAAAATGCACTCTTGCCTTGAAAAAAGTGATGGCCTAAGTAGTCAAAACAGGCAAGGAGAGGAAAAGGGAGAGAAAAGGAAAGCCAGTAGGATGCTGCAGGTGCTGCACTGACAGAGTAAAGCCCCAGATACCTGCTGCACTGCAGATCTGGAGCTGTAAAATGGCAATACCACAATATTCATTGAAAAATTAAAGCAATGCTTTGACAGACAGAACACGTAGCTCAGCCACAGTACCATAAACTTCCCTATGGCAAAGGTAAACCACTTAAAATCCTCTTACAGAAAGAGCTGAATGGCACCCATGTTTTATGGTCTCATTCACTCCAGCTGTTACCTTTAATAGCAAAATTGAAGAAAGCAGAGCTCCTGTCCCCATTGCTGGAGGCCTCGCAGCACACGGTGCCAGTGCTACTGAACATGCTGGCGTTAATGGTGCTTTCAACCAGGATTCGTTCAAATGAAGGCACTGATGAATTGGTGTAACTGACTTTGACATCCATGGGGGACAGTGTCGGTGAATCATAACACCTGGAAGAAGCAATACGGACCATTAATTGCCATGGATTGTTACTTGGAATGCATGACAGGTCCTGCTGCTGGTCGAGGCAGTCACTGCCAGACCGTCAGATAACGAATAGCACTGCTCTACAAAGGGATTCAGCTGAAGATCTTATCATCAAAACTTAGCTTACTCATGATTTCTTGTTGTCTTCTACATAGTGACGGAAACAGACACATACACCAAGCCTGATCTAACTGAACAGGATGAGGTCTTTGTGTTTGCTTTTGGCTAGAGATATCTACAGGCCTGTAAGCCCACTATGGGTTTTCTACTGCTCAACCTACATCTCCAGCATCGGTTTCAATCAGTTATGTTCTCTTACCTACTCCTGAAAACTTCCCCTGAGCATCATTTCATTACAGCACAAAAATTACATTACATACATACTTTATTACCAAGTTTATATGGTATCAGAAAACAGTTGCTGCCTCCCTTTCCTTCCTAAGAAACCACCCATGAACTACTTAAAAGTCTGCATTCCTTTTTTAAAATTAGCTGCAGTGTTAAAAATGTCACATATTTACTACATGAGGGCACATAGAAGACAGTATTTTTAAAAATGGGGAAATAACAATTATTTTCAGCATAAAACACAAAATGCAGATGGGAGACTCATGACTTGCTAGCATGAGATCTACAACCATTGTGGAAGTCAACAAATACCTCAAAACATACTTCACAAACGCTCACTTCACAGTGAAACTCTACAATCTTTTTAGAAACGTGGTAACTAGACATGAGGTTTTATTCATACAACTGCAGACTTCTTTAGTTGTCGTCTGCTTTATGTGAATACAAATCTAATTACCTTTTGTCTTGAAAAGGTATATCATTACACAATAAAACAAAATATAACAACCATATTCACAAGTGATTCTGTGATTGTAATTCTGTGAAATCGCATACAGAAAATGTGTCACTTGGAGCAAAACCAATACAAACCTTAGCTAGCTTACAGCAGGGCAAAAGTTTGTTTTTTTTCTTTTCTGCAGCAGAAAATGTTAGTTATTTCCCTTTCAAGGATGGAATTCAAAGGGGAATAATGAACTGTACCCCTACCTTCCCCTCAAATCACTTCAAATAAAGCAATGATGAAAATTATAAAAACAGTGATGCAATATTTGAATGTAATTGTTACAGAGTCGTTTTATATTCTTAATTTTTAATTCTAAAAAGAGTGTGCTACATCTAGAATAACCTGTGGAGGCTCTGAGTTAACTCACCTCTGCTCGGTTCCTGGGCAGAAATACCAGTATATGGTGGGGGCTGGGAACCCAGCTGCTACACACTGAAGAATACCATTGCTAAGTATATCCAAGGTGAGAATCTCTGGTTTTGCTGCAATAAACACAAAGGAGAGGCACATATTAGGGGAACCCAGCATTTGCATTGCCACTTGCTCTTCATCCCAGCAACTTCTGTGTGCATCATTATCCATGAAATCACTCAGGTGAACGGAGCTTTGCATATTCAAGGGTGTCTAGGTCTGAACTGGTGTCCTGCAAGCACTGACCACCTGTGATAACACCAGTTTTGAATGATTGGGCTGGGCTTCAAGGAGAACACCTTAGCTCCACTGACCTATTTGGTTTGATGAAAAGATCTTAAACTAGCAAAGCCCAGAGCTTAAATAACCCAGAGAAGTGTGTGCCTGGAACAACAGTGCGGTTCCCATTCCTGCAGAGCATGGCTTTACCTGCCAGTAAAAAGGACAGTTTCTACACAGTTACAAGCATACTAAATCTGTCAAACCACATCTCTCTTGCATCTGCCCTGTGTGTTAAACATTACCACAGCAGCCAGAAAAGGAACTACTGTGCAAGACAACCAGTGCAGATCTCCCCATCCCCACAGAGGACATATGTCCCTGTACTACATTGCTACCAAAATGCTGGATTGCCTGACTCTCTGAAACATTGCCCACAAAGGAAGCTAATATTTGGCTGAATATATTAGCTTTCCAAAAGATAATTAATGATTGCTTTGGTATTTTAGAAAGCAATCTGGCCAGCTGATGCATCCCATAGTGTCCCTACACTGGAGCTGGTCCTGCACTTGGTTCAGGAGCTGCTGTCTCAAGTATGGCAGGAAACTAGAGAGATCAGATGGCCTTTACAGTCATTACTTCAATAGCACAGGCCTTCAGCTTAGGGCACCACTAAGAACAGCAAGATTTATTTCTTGGAGAAAACTGAACTAGAGGCCTTATTTTCCATAATTATCTTGGTTTTCCTGCAAAACTACCCCCAAAAAAGTTAATGAAAAAAAGAGACTATATACCAAAGATGCTGCTCACCTGACAGGTACAAGTTAAAAGTCCATTATCAGTTCATATAACTTTACAGAAATGTAAGATGAACTGCTAATACTCTAGAAAGTTGTGAAGCTCTACAGACTACAGTTGGAAAACACAGATTTATTTCAGATAAAATCCACATACAAAGACTGCACAGTGTTAATTTTTAATGAATATTCTACTTGCTGATTAAATTGGAGGCAATAAAGCACACATATTCTCAATCACATAGCATCTCTTCATGACTCATGTTACAGGAACCGAATGTTCTTTCATTTCTAAATCTGCATGTTGTGTTTTATGCAAACCACCAAGAACCAAACATTGTTGCAAAATGTTGAGATAGATTTTCAGCATTACTCATTTGGTGAGGAGCTTTCTGAGAGCACACAGCATTTCACCCAGCCTTAGTGCTCACAGACAGACATAATTCACATTGCTGAAGCTCCTATGAAAATGGTTGGATTGTGAAATTATAATTAGATAATCTGCTACCCATGTGAAACCTATTTGTTTAGGTATATATTATGTTTTGGGCAATGTTACAAGGCAATGTAACACAACAAATGAGATCAATTAAAAGTCAAGTACAAGAGAAAAAGGAACATTAAACCCCAGAAAAAAACATCATGGCAGATTTGGGCTGAATCTAACACTCTGAGTAAGGAAAAATAAAATGCCTCTATTAGTTGGGCTTTTTTTCCATTTTTTCTAAAATAACAGTGCAATAAAAGCCTGTCTACAGAGCCACAAGTCCAGGAGGACTCATCCTGCAGCAGCGGAGGGAGGTGAGACACTGGATGGTGAATGCCTCCAGCAGCCAGGCAGTGAGCACAGCCCTGGTGCTGTGGGATGCTGAGCTGCAGAAGCTTCCTGAAAGCAGCTGCCCTGAGAGCAGCTCTACCCATGAGGTCCCCAGCGAAGCACTGATGCAATGATTAGTGTGATCTGCCTCTGCTCAGGCCTCCCGGGCTCAGAGAAATTGAGGGATGCATTTCACTTGCAGCAGCAGAGTCCCCCAAGCCAGCACTCGAGGGGACAAAGGTGGCTGCTGCTCCCATCCCCCGGGGCTGTGCTGTTTGCTGCCTCGGGCCATGTGCACGTCTCAGCACCTGCACCCCTTTCTGAGCCAGAGCCCCTTCCTCACCCACCAGCACAGGGAGCGCTGGAGCAAAGATGGGCTGGCTTTGGGAAACAGATGCCAAGCTGTCACTGAGCATCTTCGTTTTAAAAGAGGTTTTATGGTGCTAGATTTTATGACTTTCACTGCCTAATTACCCCTGGTAGCAGACAGGCTCCTCCTAATGACTAGACTTTGCTTAATGTTTCAGCTTTAACCCCTTAAATATTTAATGTTTCATTACATTACTTGGTATACACACACATATAGCCTACCATAACCAGTCATTAGACATCTTAAACTTCTAATTTCACTATGTTTATTAACTGCTTTTCAGCTTTAATGAATGTTGATTCTCAATACAGGAAAAAGGATTTCTGAGTGGTCACTCCTATTTTAACTCAATACTCTTATGCATTTGCTTTCTATTGCTGATTTCCTTTTCTTCATCATTAACAAAGTAAATGCCTAAAAAGTAATATTTAATAAGTATTGTCTGTCATTGCAGTCAAAGAGAGGAAGCTTTCCTCCTAATGGCATATTTTCTGATTGGCACAAATCTGTTTATATTACCCCAGTGACTCCTCATTGGTTCACTGCAATGACAGAAAAATTGCTGAGCTCAGCTTCACATGATCTGTAACACCATGACCAGTTTTCTCTTTGCAGCTTGAGCCCAAATTCATGCATAGGTAATATTTTGTTGAGTATAATTAAGCCCAGATACTATTTTGCACTAAACTCAGATACTAGTTGAAAGATTTCTCCCCTAATAGCTAGACGCATTGTACCTTGCTACTCTGGAGATTTCTATAGTGTCTTAAGTGTAACTCAGTTCAGCATTCTGCTTGTCAAGTTGTAATGTTCTTTTTGGCTCCTAATTTCAGAGCTGCTTCCTTCCTCACTTCATGTCACACTTACTATGACTGACTACATTTTTTTTAAGCAATTCAGTATTGTTTCAGATTAGCATATGCGATTGCTAAATGTGTTTAAATCCAAGGCAAGTCTTTCAGCAAATGCTTCAGCATTGATTTTTGTTTACGTGAAGACATTCTCCTGATTATGAATCCTGTTTTACCTGTTTGATTACTTTCTGCTGATTACGCGTCCAAGCCAGACGTGTAAACATCATGAGCTACATCCCAGCAATCTATGCGAAATCCCCGCTGACAACAATGTCAGGTCAGGACACACCATTAGATAAGGATCTGTCACACCCACACATGACTCACAATGTCAAATAATATGACAGGCTGTCATGAAATTTGTGTTTCATACCTAAATGATCAGCATCTTACAAGCCACTGAAAACATGAGGCTATTTTTCTTTTAAAAAAAACTTAGATGGATCAGTTCATTTTGTCTCTTCTTTTCAAAATTAAAAAGTATTTGTAGGAGCTTAGCTAAAAAGACAAAAGAAACTCTGGAGTCAAGTGTATCAAATCCATCTGCTTCTGCAATATCTGCAGTCCACCCAGGGCCACAGTGCATGGTAACCTGGGCTCTGCTGAGACAGCTTTAAAGTCTTTATTGAATCCCAAGGCTGACCTTGGGTTTTTCAGCTTTTGTCAAGCAGCAGATTCCTCAAAAGTGGCAACAAGGACCTTAGCATTGAGAACTGACACCTTACGATGACAGAACTGTGGTGGCTTTTTGGTTTTCTGTTGGTTTGTTGGTTTTTTTGGTTTGGTTTGGTTTTTAAGTTACTGCCCTCAGACTGCTCCCAAGTAGTCTGCAGAGCCTGGGGAGGCCCATGAGCAACCCCTCGTCTCAAGCGTGGGTATGACCCTGCAAGTCAGAAAACACCATCCAGCCTCATCTGAACTGATGACTCCATGGGCAACCTGCAATTTCTCCCATTCCTTCTCAGAAATTAAACTTCTGGCTCAGTATTTTGTATCGCTAATCTGTAAAACAGTAGAGTTATCCCTCCTGACTGTAACCTACATTCACTGACGGCAGCAAAGGAGAGCTGAGGTCACCAGTGCCCCCATCTCAGAAATCACAGCTGGGAATGGAAAAGGCACAAGAATGTAAATGACAATATTCACAGACGAAGGAAGAAATGCCATGTTCTGAAAGAAGCCCAAGTGACATTTCTAGTCCCAAACTATGGCATAGCTAATAGTGATGCTACAAATGTTGGCTTTCAGTGATAATAAGAAGAATTCAGAAATTAGTATTTAGGATTTTGTTCATTCATGGAAGTCTTGACAGTCCTCTACATTAGCCTATGCCCAGAGAAGGACACATTGCTACTGAAGCATAGCAGCAACACAGAACTGTACTTGCAGCACATTCATTCATTTTTTATACAGTTCCTCCTGCTGGGCTTAAAGGCATCACTATCTACCTCGCCTTAGGTTCTCCAGTCTGCCTGCAGTCCCCTTCTGGCTTAATTTTCCTTAAGCTTGGCCTTTAGCAGCTGCCAGTATTTGTCTGCTGAGAGCATGAAATTCTCTACCAGGATGGCTCTGCTGTGAAGGACAGGGCTCCCTGAAGGTTTCATTCAATTCATTTTGAACTTTAGCTTTTGTCTTCAAGAATGCTGTTTGGAACTGACTAACACTCTTTTTTAACAACCATGTCCCAAAGATGACAGCACACGCGTTTGCAAAGCTATGCAGATTTCCCTAAAACAATGGAGATCTGTATTTTATTATTCAGAAGTATTTAGATGCCAAAAGGCACAAGTGGATAATTCTCCTGACAGGCTTTCAAACTCTGCATCCAATTTAAACAAATAAAGACAATTAATATCTTAACTTGACTGCCAAAAATGCAAATTATAATCCCTGTATGTCCTGCCGCACCTTAAATTATCAAAGGTTGATGGTACACGCTCACTTTTGAGATTGTGTTTCCGGGTGCTACAGAATTTTTCCTGTATAAACAATCTATCTGCTCCCCAGTAACCTCTGGAATATGCTTGCTAGAATGGAAGGTCACACTGGATAGTAGGTGGATTTGTGTAAATTCTCCACACTTTTATATCTTGACATTTAAATAGTTTTCCACCATGTGCTTCACTTCAGAAAGCCTCTCATATGCTGAACTGCACTGTGACATCTTGTGCATACATTATGTTGTATAAAATACAATGACTGTGATAATGAAATATTTCAGACTGTTCACTTTACTTACTTTTCACATAGACATTAAATGTTACAGAGGAGCTGGCATCAGAATTGGACACAAAAAATGTGTAAATGCCTCCTTCTGTTCCTTTTAATCGGGTAAGGTGAAGTTCACTTGTGTAACTGTAAAAAAAAAAAAATCATTACAGAAGCTCACAACTTGCAGTGAACAGGGGATTGCTGTATGGAAGCTAAGGAGTGAATTATTAGAGTGCAGTCTTTGTCTGCATACACTGTCCATGCCAACACTCTCATCTTGCATTACTTTGCAGGGCAGCATCCAGCAGTTTTGCCCCTTCTAACACCCAGATGCATGCCTGCATCACAGCTGAGCACCAGATCTGGACCCTGTGCATGCACCCCCACCTGCTCTTTTCTCACTGAGAAGGGCACCGAGATCCACAAACCAGGCCACACATGCTGGGTGCTACACTAGATTTTTGGAGGACCAGTGCTCAGGAGAGAACAGTGCACAGTGGAAATAAAAGCATAAGCTTTTGTCCAGAGCTCTGGGCTCTGCTGTGATAGTGCAGGGAGTCTCTACACATAAACAACTTTGCCTTCTTAGTTTTGCTTTATTGGGCAGGAATGGCATCTTGTAGGTGAGTTGTGAGCTTATGGCCCACCAGTCCAGCTCAACACTATTCCAAATCTAGGTTAGCAGACTTTGCACCAGTCACTGCGATAAGCCACGTGGGCCATGAGATCTTACATAATTACAGTTTTCCCACCATTAACACTTCCATCTTTCCTGAGCAGACACTAGTTTGCTGTTCCAAAGTGAAATTGATAGCACTTACAACCATCCACATTACCTGTTATTGCTCACAGTCTTGAACTTGACATAATGGTCTGATGAATTCTGTAATGTTTCGTTCATGTACATCCAGACTTCTTCCTTTGGTTTTGGATATGCCTCATATTCAACAGTTAGATTTCCATTTTGTCCTGCATTTATGTCTATTGTGGTATTCATTGTTGCAAACAAACGCACAAATCCTTTAGCTGATGGTGTAAGAGGAGAAGAAAAACAATTTCAGGGCCATTTAGAAGATTGTCAATACTCTAACCACACTTAGACTACTTCAATACCTAGTGATCAAACATCCAACTGTGAAAGAGGAAGCCTTATCTCCAAAGCAGAACTTGAACCCTCACCTGCCAAAACCAAAGCTAGTAGTTATATATAGCAATGAGGCACAGGACTTAAAGCAACCTTTAGTGCCCTAACAGAAATAATTCCATCTTCTGGTGATAAACAGCCTCTATTTGCTTTTGGAAAAATGCAAGCATGTGCTTGCCTCTACCCAAGTATTTACATTTTTCCAGAAATCAGAGTCACTAAGTGTATAGTACAAAAGAAACACTAAGCAAAAAGCAGGAGAAAATTGTAATTCATTACAATCGACTATTTAAGGTTACTTTGTCAAGTGTAATTAAGAACGACATTACAATGAAGCTATTAAGAACTGTAATTAGAAAAAAATGTGCTAAGTTCACAGGCCTGGATACCAATTGTCTTAAACTAAGGCTTGTCTGTTTATCTACTGCTGGGTCTTAATCTTCTGTCTGGCAGATACCATTTATCATTGCACAGTTCCATTCCAAAATATAATGTGGAGCAGCATCCTTACTGCAGTGGTTTTGATTTCATTAATAAACTCATCAGTTTCAGGATTATTCACTTTGAAAAGGCAAATTTTTCAGTCCTATTACGCAAATTCACATGGGAATTACCAGTCTGACAGGCAGATTGCAATTACAAGGAAACACATTTGCTGAGAGAGCTTGAATGTAGATGAAAAGTCAATCTCAGATCTCTGCTTCTTTCCACTTTCTAGTAATCAAACTGCTGTGGCCAGCTGGGCACCTGAGCTCAGGAAAACCAGAGCCAGCAGGGCTTGGTGAAAGCATATGGAGCTGCCAGAGCACTCGACAGCTGCTTCAGAGAAGAAAGGATGAAGTAAACTCACAGCAGGCAGGTATGTTCTAAAATGCTCCCCATCATGAGAAGAGAGAAAATGTTTTTAAATCCAGAAAGTGAAGATTTTTTGTTTCTTTGCAGAGGTTTTTTCTATTTTCTCTACAAACACTGGATTCCCAATGCAACCTAGACTCAAAATTGGACCCAAAAGCCGATAAAATTGTATGGTTGTGCTATTGGTCCCGGAAATGTGGTTCTAGAAACTGTTTACAGTTAGATAAATTAACTGTTTAAAAAAGTAATCAGGAAACTAAACAAAAAAAACACTCCATTATTTATTGTAAATCTTTTGGCTAACATTAAAGCCACAGGGATGTAGGATCTGACACAGCCCCAGGATCTCTCCCGTACACACCACATACCACCTCCCAGGACCCTGGGAGCTGGCACAGTTCAGGTAAGTATAGTCAGTTTGACAACAAACGGGGAAAGGCATTCAGGAGACAGAGTTTATTTGCTGTTAAGTCAAATGTGAGAGGGTGAGGAGATAAAAGTATCTCAAAAAGGAAATACTCTAGCTTTTCTGTGGCATTTTTTATTAAATACAAACTTTGTATTTTACTAAAGACAAACTTGTTGCTTTATTTTCTACTTTTTATAATGCTGTGCTTCATTTTAGTCACCAGACTTTCTGAAAAAAATCCTTTTTCAAGCCACATTTGCATACATAGTAGTCCTGAGAAATTCTGTAGTTATGAATTTTCCTCCTCATTTAATAAAAGCTTTCATATTGTTCTCCTTGGGGAAAAGATTTTCTTTCATATTTCACACTGTTTCGCTCTTTAACATATGAATTTATTATCTCCTGTAAAAAAACCCAAAAGATGAAACCCATCCCATCGTCATGAGCCCTGCCTCCTCAAACTGTGGAGCAAAGTTAAGGGCACTCAAGCCCCTGCCACTCTGCTGAAGATCTGACCTGCATAGGTCAAACACTTCTGTTTCTAAGCTACCAGGGAAAGCAAAACAAGCAATGTTGCAGAAGTATCTGTGCAACAGAAAAACAGATTTGAAAAGGAAGAAAGATCCGAGGCTACATGTCCCTCAGTTACTACACCCTTCAATGGGGAGGAACTGAAACAGTTGTAGCCAACTCTGCAAACTTCTTCAGAATTACCTTATTATGAACCACACCGGCATTTCCTTAATTGTCATCAATTTATCAAATTACCAAGTTTTGGCAGCTTTAAAATTCAAAAGGCACTGTGTGTCACCCAAGTTAATACACTGCAGATTCTAAATGAGTCTGTTATTAAACAAGAGGACGGAGGGAGTTCCCTCACTGTTAAGGGACACAAGCCAAAACCCATGGAAGTGATGGATAGTGGATTTACCGTGGGAGTGAACTCCAAAACGATTTCATGCTGTCTATGCATGCTGCAATGCTCCTCATGGCATTATTTTAAACAGAGGTACCTATACAGCTTCTATGCAAAACCAACACCAACCCATTGATGTCAGCAAAATTTCCTGTGCTTGGAAGGCTCGTGCTGACAAATTACTTAAGCATAGGGACAGTACCAGGCAAAGGTAAATCACTTGCTTTGTTAAGACTGGATTAAATTTAAAATTAAACCAGGAAGGATGAGACAAACCAGAGACATGGAAAAGAATTGGGTGGTTGTTTCAATAGCATATCCCAATAAGATGCAAAGGGTTGTAGAAATAAAAGTATCCATATATACCACATTTCCTGAGCCACCCCATATGGTACCTGTCAGCAATAACCTTTTAATAAAACAACTTTACTCATTGAGCTTTGGGGGGAAGGACAGAGAAGGAATGGAAGGCTCCCCAGTGTTCTCACTTTCCACCTCCCACTCTTAAGAAATGTTAAGATGTTTAGAATAACTATTTACCTAGTGCTTTCAAGGTTACTGTGGCATTCGTTTTTCCAAAAGGGTTTCCTGCTTCACATGTGAATTCGCCAGAATCATTAACTCCCACTGAACGGATGTTCAATGTTAATTTCCTTTCGTATCCATAATCACCCAAATTTCTGCTATTGCTTGTAACAATCTGTCGGTAAAAAACAATTAACATCTGAAACACTGTGTATGCAGCATCTTTGCTAGATAAATTAAAAATAGAAGTAATTATAACTTTGCTATATTAATATTCATAACTTTAAACCGGAATAATAAGCCAGCACGACAAACCTGTCACTAGAATCTCTCCATGCAAAACAAGTGTGTGATCAGCTGTCTTTGGGAGATAATGTCCTCTCCTAAGTTCTGTTCCCCCCCCTTATTATTTTTCTTTTCCTTCTCATGCTCCACAGTAAGGCAAGAATACGTGTGTGTGTGTGTTCATTGCTCCGAGATAGCCAAACAGAAGAGACCAGCCCAAGACACAAAGCTGAAACTCTTCTTCAAATATTTCAGTCATACAGAGAAAAGGGTGTTAATCCCAAGGTTAAAACGCATCTCACTCTGGCTAAGTTTCTAATGCTGAGGAAGGTGAGGAAGTGACAGAAGGTTTTATTTGCAAAACGACCACTGGGTCCTGACTTTCCCAACACTCAGAAGCTGCAGCGATCACAAAAAGTCATTGCAGTGCTGAAGTGTGGCTCACCATTCAAGTGATGCCTAAAAATCACTAAGGCCTCTACTTGTTGCAGGGCTTCCCAGTGGATGACAAGGGAGAATTGAAGGTGTTTCAGATTCATTTTAAACTGGGTTGCTGTATGCCCTGAGTCCACAGCATCTCCTTGCAGACATACTGCAGAGAAACCTGCTGGCAGCAGGCTTTACACAGCATCCTTCCTCTGGTACCCACTCTGATTCTTGGTCCATAGCAATTCAGATGTATTAATCCTAAAGGTAGCTGGAAACTTAATTCTCTTTTCAAAGCATTAAAAACATCATGACTCTATGCCTAGGCATGCACAGAAAAAAAATACATGCTTTGGGGTGTAAATTTCTGTGAGAATGCCCAGTGTGGTTGGAAAGAATGATAAATTTACATTGGTTAATCCAGATGCAGATGTGGACATGTTAGGATTTTCTGGTGAGATTATTTCAATTCTTGGAGATTTCAAGAGCTTCTAGATAAATCTCATCTTCCTAGTGCAATTTTGGTTCCTCCTGAGCTATAATAATCACAATCAGATTTGTTTTGTATTGATGTGCTTGCCCATAACAAGTCTCCTAATTTTCAAAAGTGGTGATAATTTCAGTCATATTTCTTTTTTCCTCTCTGCTATTCAGGACAAAAAGTAATTCTGCATCAATTTAAGCATTAATTTTCTTTATTCTGATTCAGTACAAAAATTAATGTGATGGTCAATGTTGAAAAGATAGTATCCCTTGTTATTTACCAGAAAGGACAGAAAGGTCAAAATTATTTGGCCATAAATACTTTCGTTGTGGCTTTTACTCATAAAATGAAAAGCAATAAAGTACAAAAACTTAAGGGAAGTCCCTGATTTCATCACACAGTGACAAAGAAAAGGGAGGAGAATGAGAGAAAAAATTCACTTCTTAGATGAAGGACATGCAATTGACCTTGGCACAGGACCAAAAGCCCCATCTGCATGTCCCACACTGCCTTCATGTCATTTAGACCTCCTCAGCACTTGGAGCTGTGAGGTGGGATTTCTGGAGCAGTGAGCACTTAGTGGGAGCAGCTCTTCCAGAGCAAGCAGATTAGCTAAGCATGGTATGACCAGCCCCAGGGAACAGGTCTCCCATTCACTGTTTGCCTGAGGAGATGTGATCTATCCAACTTCACAGCAACCTTTTTTTTTTCCTCATACACACATGGACTGTGAATTATGTATTCTGGTCACTACCATTAGCAGTAAAAGACGAGCCAATTCTCACGGGACTGTATATGGCACGAGTTACTAACAGGTCTCCACAAGGGCTCTGCATTCATTTGAATTTCAGGGTGTACCCAGAAGACCAAGAAGTGTCCCTAAGAACAAGCCAGTGCCTGCTGGTTGCTTCAAGGGCAGAGCTGGCAGACCGGGGGAGGGGGTCTCTCTGCCCTTCCCCTGTCCGCAGAATCGCTGTGCTGCTGGTAACAAACTCTCCTGGAGCACTTAGCCTGCCAATAATTCAATTTGGTGATGCCAGGCAGTAACTTCATCTATTACTACAGACAGAAGCCAGTTCACTGGTTCATTTTTCAGAACCTTCCCAGTTAGCGAGGCACACCACATAATTTCAATGAATTAATCATTCCTGCGAACACTTACTACTATTCCTGTCACATACAAGCCCATGGTAATTAGCAGGTATTTTACTGTTAATGATAACGACTAGAATATGTAATCTGCAGTCCATGTGTTGATATTTGCAGCTCCCATTGATTGCAATGTGATGTGTAGGCACTCTGTGCTTCCGTATTTAGGCAGCCCAACAGAGGTCACCTAAAATTCACATTGAAGAGCCTGACTTTAATTTCTGTTTGGGAAGAAAAGCCCCTGCAGATGCTTTTCTTCCCAGCCATCCAAATGGGCACAAGATAGTTGTTGATAGCCCATCACCATTGTGTGGGGTCTGGGACCACTGGAAATGCAGCAAATCCAAATAAATAGGTAGCATCAGGTATCCAAGATAAGCACATGGATGTCTACAGGGAGACTGTGTGCAGAGCTGAGGCAGACATGACACAGTTAAGGAACTCACCCCACTTCTGCGAGAAACCCAACTAGCTTGTACGCTACTATCCACATCCGTGATGATGCACGTAACTTCAAATTCTTCCCCTTCTTTGAGAAGCTCGTAGCTTTTGGATAAGGTGATGACAGGAAGAGTTTTATGAACTGGAAAACAATTTAGAAGTGTGTTAAAAATCAACAGACATTAACTTTCCAATAAAATTTCAGGTCTCTGAGAGGTATTCATGTTTCTTTAATGTATTACACAGTTCCTTTACAACGCACATTTCTGCTTCAGTCTCCCTTCAAAGTATGTTTAAAGTTAGATAATACTTGTTACAATGTGGCAACTTGCACCATGAAACTTGAACTATGTTGAATCACCAATGAGACAATTCATTCCACGACAGCTATTATAAAGTTGCACTCTGGAACCAAACACACAGTGAGGATCAGCCACGGAAAAATTGCAGCCTAGCATTAACTGCAACTTTTATTTACAAATACCTACAACTACAACGAAGGATAGTCCAACAGGTCCCTGAAAAGCCCCTGGTGGTCAGCCTAGGAAGGACAGGTACAGCTCAAGGACTTAAGAACACCTGCTTCTGAAAGCACCACAGCCTCTGCTCACAGTGATGGCTCACAGAGGCTGCTGGAGCCAAGAGCCTGGACAAGTTAATCACCCAAGGGGTCAGTGGTTACAAGCTGCCATGGGCTAGCTGTGCCCCTGTTCTGCTTTGGGGTGTCTTGTCAACAGTCAAGTATATGCCTCTTATCTTTGCAAAGCTCTTCAGCTCTTCCTCTGTTCACTCCACAGCTTGTTTTTCTGCCTTCCTCATCCTTTCTTCAAATTCTCCTCATTTATGAGACTCCAGTGAACTTCTCACTACAACTTTTAGGCAGGAAGACACAGTTTCAAACCGTGAATGCAACCTTATGCAACATAAGGCCTTCCAGATTCTCTTCCTGCCTCTGACACAGGCTTTGTAGTTGCCTTAGGTAAATTATACAAAACTTAGGAAAACATGACTCTTTTCAGCCATTCATACTTTAACAACATTTTCCTCAAGTTGCTGCAAGTGGCTACGAAAGAGAACAAAGAAACGTGTTTGTTCTCTTCAGATTTAAAGGCTCATATGAAAATCCCCCTCAGCTTTCAACAGTACCTAAGAGACAGGAGGAAGCTGGTGCAGAAGAAATGCCGTGTTCTCACCCATCAGAACATCTATGGATAATTTAAAAAAAGCCGTAAGGCCTTAAAGCCCCTCATTGTTTTGAGAAGAGCAGGACATATACACTCCCTGTGCTATCATAGTGTATGAGTATCCCTGCAAAGCACCGTGTTTCATGAATGCCTCTTCTGTCTTTCTGCATCAGAACGTCAGGCCTGGGGATTTGAGTGCCATGCTTATGATTACAGAGACATTACCCACCCAAAGGGTCTCCAACACATTAAATCCAAGGAGAAATAGGGAGATTTACCTGGTGAACTTGATAAGGCCTGAACAGTGCAGTAATTACAGCACTGACGATGACAATGCTGCTTTGCTGCTGATGGCATCCAGGAGATGCTTCCACCTAATACACACTTGCCTACAGATGGGGAATGCAGGCAGATCACTGAGGATCCACCAGCCACCTACAGCTGCCCATCATCAGTGAGACACTGGCAATGGGTGTCAGGTCAGCACCCTCTCATCTGAGCTCAGCAGTGTATGGAGCAAGTACAGACTTTTATCCCATTAAAAAAATAATATTAAAGAAATGAATAGTCCAATAATACAACATGCACTCTGCTATGTCAGATAAATGTCTGTTCTGTCAATCAATTGCTCTCCTTCTTTGGATGCAACAGAAAAAAATGCTAGAAAAAAACTTTTTGCAGAACAAACAACAGAGCCAGCACGAACAGACTTGATTTTTGTCATCAAAGGAGAATGCCAGAGATGTCTGAACTGATTAAACTGTTCTCTTGTCTCATAAATTGAGATTTAGTATTAATTAAAATTCACTACATCAGAGTTGCCAAATCACCAGGAAAAAAGCTTTTGCACTTTGTCACAGAAACTTTACACTTGAGAGGGTCTCTGCTGCCCATCCCCTGCCCCACCACTGGGGAGCATGGCACAGGGCTTTCTCACAGCCCCCACCACAGAGCAAACACACACCCCATCAAACCACATGGTTGCTCTTGTGACCATCCTCACTCATGGAGACAAACAAGGGCCCTCTTCTCCCCCAAGATGTGTCTCTCCACTGAATCCCTCTTCTTTAATGCCATAGATCAGTTCCTCCTGCTGTTACTTGTGGACAACAGGCATGTGAGTCATGCACCCAAACCTCCAGCTTGCCTGCGCAAACCTCTTCAAACCTCAGGGCACTGGTTTGTCCTCAAAGTTTAACAGCACAACCCACGTTCTTAGAATTGTGAAAAAAGGCACCTGGAAATCACCAGGAACAGAAAATAACAGCAGTCATGGCTAAACCTGCTCAGCACATCCACAAGCCATGTGTCACCAGAGGAACCCATGCTGCAACACAACTTGCCCAGTGCAAGCTTTCTAAGCCCATGACACTCCTTTGGACAGGCTGGAGAAGCTACAGGCACCACAGAGCAATCCCATGGTGTGCAAAAAACACCTTTGGTTTTGAGTAGGTGAAGACTTCAAAAGCCTCCAGAGAAGACCATCACCTCCAGCCTCCCCATTACAAGGTCAGGACACAAGGTGAGGCTTCACAGAACTTCTCACCAGCTTCTGGGAGGTGAAGGATAAAATCAGGTGCTTGACAAGAAGGCAGAAATCCTGTGTTACCTGGCCTCACATTCAGGAAAATCTTCTCCGATGTTTTCTCAACTCCATTGTGCTTGGCCACGCACTGGTAGCAGCCCTTAAAAGACCTCTGTACATTCTTGATGATGATGCCTTTCTGGGGATTGGGAATGAAGGTCATGTTTTTGGGGAGAGGTTTGCCGTCACATCTTCTCAGTGTGAAATTTGAAACATCTGGATCTGTTAGTGGGCATACCAGCAGGATGTCACTGTCTTCTTTTCCATAGATCAGAGAATCAACAAGGAAGAGCACGTTTGGATCTGTGAAGAAATGCAAAGACCCATCAGAGAAGCTGACATTGCATAGGGAACATCTGATGACCCTAACTCTGCAATTGGGCACTTATATCAAAGGAAGCTTTACATTCAGCCAATAAAACTCAGTATTACCCAAATTATGTTTACCAAGAGGCATTAAATTTTGTCCTAGAAGAGCAGCACAACAGGAGATGTGCAGGAGCATTAAATAGCAGACACACTAAAGAATCATGTGCACTAAAAATAATCTTACTGCTTTTTATGAGGCAGGCATATTGAGAGATGGAGCATTCTGCTACAGAGATGGAGATTTATTTTTTTTTCCTTGTTCAGCTCCAAAATGTCCCCTCTCCAGTCCCAACAACAGAAAACAGATTTTCACAGACCATTAAAAGTAATTTGCTTTTAGCCAGTGGCAGGGCTGTAAGGTTTCATGCCCACAGGAGGACTTTGAAGAAATTTATGAGCAAATGTAAGTTGAAAAGCACCTAAATTATGGTTTTCACTTCTGTAAAATACACAATCTAAATGAACACACATTGCCACCAGAGGAAGCACCAAACAACTTCTCTCTCTCTCTCCCCTCCAGGAAAGCAGGGCTTATTTTTAGCCTCCTTAGAAAAAAAACTGGGCATACAAACAGCGTATCTGATTGAAAAATCATCATGCAATCTTTCAGAAGGTAACTTTTCTAAAGCATTTCATCTCAGCCAACCACAGCCCACAAACATACAGTACTTTGAACACATCTACAAGCAAAGTTGAAGCCCATGACAGGTGATGACCTTGAAATGCTAAGAACCTGGCCAGTAATAGTAAGCACAAAAATAAGGGTGGTATGGTAACAAACATTCTGTAAAAGCTTATTTCAGCTCCCATCTGCCCTCTCTGCAGAGTAGCATCAATTAGAAATGCAGAAACAGAGGGAAAAGTTTTCTTTCTTTTTTGCAAACTGTCTTCATACAAGCTGAATTATTAGAGACCAACAAACCATGGCTTAACAAGGAAGACACACAGAATTTGGTTAAGATGATGGACAACGTAAATTTGGTTTAAGTCAAGGAGCACTAGGCTAGAAATGAAGCATGGGACATTTACATAAGCAATTAGGAAATGCTAAGTCAAAAGGTGCTTATCACTGAACACAGAAGTTACTGACTGGTTTCCAGCTTAGAGTTAGGGTGTAATTTTAACCTCATTTGATACTGCTGCCCAAGAAGCCCTCACAAGCCAAAAGCTTTCAAGAGTCAGTCTAGAACTAGAGGATGGAGACTACTAACATATAAAAAAATAAAGCATGTCTGAAACAGGATCAACATGTGATGTTTTGCACACAGAGATACTTAGAGAAATCCTATGAATACTATGAATAGCTGCCACTCCTGAGCCAGAAGAGCATGGACTAAAAGAGCTCATCTAAATGTCCCTGCTGACAGAGACTTAACTGATTGGTTTCCTCTCTGTCCACTTTTTCTCCAATATGGACAGAACCAAGACACCCTCACTATGCAGAAAGTATGGCTCTCCAGGAAAAACAAAACAAAACAAACCCCCCAGTTTTTAAAATAGAAGAAAGGGACAAAGACCCATTTCACTAACATCTGAAATTGCATGGAAGGCCTTGGCTAGGGTAAGCAGAATTGCTGACGTGCTCCTGTCCCATCTTCCATCTCTCTCTAGAAGGGAGACATCATGGGGAGAAGATATTAAATGATTCACTGTAGAGAATTCAGGCACAAAGAAGCTGCTCAAGGGCATGTTCTTCCCTTCACTGCCTTCCAACCTAGTTACATCTTGGGTAGCACCTGCTTTCTGGACATACCTGAGGTTTCCAACACAAGATAGGGCGGTGCTTATCATTGCTTGCATCTGAAAAGACCTGAGATCAAACTCAAGGTATTTTCTCTCTTAAGTAGGTGCCTGAACTTTCTTGATCCTCCTCACTAAATTTCTTTGAATGTGGACACAAACTCCTTCTACAGGAGCAGACAAACTACCAACACAGGTATTTTCTGCCAAAGCAGGAAGGTGAAAGAGGTGTCTACAATCTGTCAGCATCCTTGGTCACCAAAGAACAGAAAATTTTGTTTTAGAAGATGGACACAAGAGATAAACAGCTGCCACCATTTTATGTGCCACTTGGGATGGCACAGAATCGAGGTTCTTGGTCCTCTTCTCTCTTCATTCCCACTGTTACAAAGAGAAGGAATATAGGGTGCTTCTGGCAACGCCACAAAGCAGCTAAGCTCATAGTAGCATCTTTAAAGTGACACATGATGTCACCAAACCACAGCCTATTGCAAAATTATGGCTAACACACACTGATTTTACTCCCAGAAACTTGTCAAAGTAAAGCCTGCCCATTTTACACACTGTTAAGGTGAAGAAATAAACAATATGTTGCATGAGGGCCAAACAACTTATATGATGCTTTAGTAATCGTGCTCAGTGGGAGTGTTGCCTGCTATCCTGAGGTGAAGGAGTCCCTCAATAATAGAAGGCACAAACATCTCAATGAACACAGTTGTCTGGGTGTCCTGGTTTGAGCCAGGATGAAGCCAATTTTTCTTTTTACTGATTTTTTTTTTCCTTCAGTAAGCTTTCTTGTAACTAGCAACAGTGTGTTCTGCTGGGCTGATAAGACAGTGGAATGTTTTTCTAACTACTGAGGCTTCAAGGCTGCACCTGCACTCTGCCGGCTCAGACACTATGGGGAGATCTGTGACCCCCCCGTAGGAGGCTGAGTTAGGCAGACAGCAAAATTGGCCAAAGATATTTCATTCCATATATCTACGTAAGCTCAGAGGAAGGTCAGAGATCACAGAAGACAACTTCCTTCCTTCTTCTTCTTCCCTTCTCTTCCGTCCATGGCCGGTGTCCAGGGAGGACTCTGTTCATCCATCACTGTCGACCCTTAGGCTCGAGATCTCCTGACCCCCATAACTCTCTGCTTTCTCCAGCAGCAGCTCCGGGATTCCTCGGGACTCTTCCCAGTTCAGGGAAGTGCTGTGGGAGTTGCTGGGGTGGGGGGAGGCGAGAGGCTTTTGCCCATACCTGAATATATCTGTATATAATTGTATATATTTTCTTGTATGATTCATTAGTGTTTTAATTAAAGCTGTGTAGTTTAGTTTTCAATCCAGCCAAGTCTCTCTCTTTTTCTCTCTCTCCTTCCCTACGTGGGTGGGGGGGAGAGGGGATCGAGAGTATTGTTGTCGGACCTAAGTCAAACTGTGACACTGGGATAACTAACAAGACCTTCAGGAAAACAGTCATGACAGAAAAAGTCAACAATGTTCATCAAATATAGGTAAAATCCATGCCAGACTTCCTTTAATCATGGTCTCAGAGAAACACAGAAAGTCAAGAAAATGCATCCATGTAGCTACACAGCTATTTGGACAACTCAGGAGCAGCTAAAGGAGCGCTTCCGTTGTGTGGCCACTATGTCAGGTATCTTCCCTTGGGAAAATACTCTGCTGTGCTGGTATCTCCCTGACTTGGAGAACAACATTGCAGTAACTCTCAAAGGATTGGCAGGGTTCAGAGAAGGCTCTCTGAGACAAGCCCTTTTGGGCCAGGAAAGTCGCCTCTTAAAAAGTGGGTGCTGTAGGGACATTTTTTCATCAACAGGGAAGAAAGACCATCAGACCTATGTGAAGGAGAAGCAAAGTAATTGTCTCCTTTTAAAAGGAAAGGGAAAGCCAGGCATGGGATACTATCAGCTGACGATGTCACAGATCAGGAGCCAACAAAAGAAGGGAAAAAATCTGAAGAAAACACGGCACAAAGAAGAAGGGTAATAAAGGATTGCAAAAATGTGTCCAAGTAGAGGCACTTTTTTCCCATTTGAGAGGCTTCTGGTCACTCACAAGGCAGATCGGAGCTGGAGGCAGAGGAATCATTGCTGCCTGCTGAATTAAGCCTGCGAGTGCAGGCTCAAAAAGCCAAATCCTTTAGCTAACTGCCTCAGTAGATCAAGACCTTGGGACCAAACCTTACATGACTCCATACTGATGGATAGCATGGAATTAAAAAGACATTTCTACATACTGCTTGCTTCCTCACAGTACAACTGACTCATGCAACTGATCCAGGTCACTTAGCTAGCTTCTAGAAAGAGCACTCGGGTATATTGCACTGCAAAACAACAGGGATGCAAAGAGAAACTCATCTGGAACTTTGGTCTAGTGAGAGAGGCCATTGCAAGCAAAGGTGGGAGTGAGTTTTCTTTCTACTGGTCAGGAAAGAAGATTTATTCTATCAGACTGTGTTTACCCACTGCACCTCAAATTCATTCTGTCCTCCAGCATTTACTGTCCTAATATTTTAGGAGTATGAAAGGGAAGGGGGAGCAAAAATAATGCTTTCATTGATATTTACCTTTAACAAAAACATAAAAAGAGTTGACAACATCCTCTTTACTTTTGCATATGTATCTGCCTATGTCTCTGACTGTTGTGTTTTGGGTGTACCACTCTTTGACATTGGAACGCCTTGCTTTCGCCAATGGGTTTGAGTTCTGGAAATGCCAAGTCACAGGTCCCTCCTTGTTGCACCTCAGCCTTAGTTCCTCCCCTTTATTCACAACCAGTGAAGATTCTTCAGGGTGCAGTGAACCACCTGCAAAAACAAAAAACAAAAAAAGAAGCACAAAATACAATGCCTGTCAACACAACACTGTTTTTTCTTTCTGTAACAAAATTGTTATAGTTGTATATGTGCAGTTAATATTTTGGGAGTTATTTCTTAAAAATACTAAGCTGCAACGGCACTGTACAATTCTGCAGCCATCTTCTGGCTTGTAAAACCTTCAGTCCATGGAGCAAATAACCACTGCAGATGGAAACTTGCCTTTAAAGAAACATTTGTAATTAGCTTCAGATGCACCAGTTTTGGATTTTGAACAAGAACAGACCCAAGCTATTTAAAAATTAAATTCAAGAACATATGAGCCTGATTCTACATAGCAGCACTTTTAATCATTCTTTGTCATTTACTCAGAATGTTGCCAAGAACTAAAGTTTACTTGCTCAATAGTCATCTCTTTTAAACTGCTCTCATGTATTCAGAAGCTCCATTCACGCTCTTAGAAGCGTCCAGTCTAATGAAGGCAGCAGTACATGGTTTCCATGCTTATTCACTTCTTTAGATTAAGTGCTAATTCGTAGTTTCTTACCTCCAAATAATTTCATGCAAAATATTCTTCAAGCTTCCCACCCAGTGCTACCAAATTAGTTTCAGTGAAGCACAAATCTCACAGTCACCAGAGCTGCTCTAAATGATCTCTTAGCTTCTTTTTCACTGAATGCACCATAACACAACTTTTACAAGTTTTAAGAAAGTAAAACTATGTAAAATGAGCAGCTTCGACTCAAAATAACCAACCACTTCCCAACTTAAACTGAAGACTTGAAGAAAGAAGCACATTCAAGTCAAGCAGTAGATTGCTGAGTTGGCACAGCCCTGATCTTAAAGTCTTAGTGAATCTACAAAATGGGAGTTCACAATCAAAAATGCAGAGAGATTCTTACTACTATGGACCTGCTGAAGAAGAACTGGGGCGCTCTTGCAGGAACAAATCCTTCCCCTGACAGAGTAGCTGTTTAGTGCTACAAGTAATCCTTAGCTTACAATAACTGTGCTGTTAGTTGATGTCCCTCTCATGTGAAGCACAGTTGTACAAGACCGTACAACATCCATATGTAGTAGCAGAGTCATGCCACTGAAAATACTATTTGCATGCAAAAAAAACACTCTGCAGCTCCTTTCAGAGGCTGAATTTCCCTGCCCACACAGATAACAACAGACCTTCCAGCAAAACAATCGGATAATTAGTTGGGATGAGGTTATATACTCTAGACTTAATTGACTCATCTCACAGCTTTAGTTGTTCTTAAGGTATTTACTGGGTTAAGATCAGGTCAGGTAACCCTTCTTCCTGACAAATCCAACACAGAGTAGGAAACAAAGGACAGTCAGACTACCTGCAGAGCCTAATTACTTCATTTATGGTCTGGGTTTTGGAGTGAGCTCCTGTTCTCTCCGCATCTCCCTTGGATTCAAATGTATTTATCACTGCTAAACCCAACAGGAAGTAATTTTTCCATCGTCACCAAAAATTTTCCACGAGGTCCACTAACCCTGCCTATACACTTCTGTGACTGAATGCATAAAAAATTGCTCTAGAAATAATAATTGCTAGAAAAATTCAGAAAAAAGTCCCCTTTTAATTTCATGTCTCCTGCCTCACAGTACAGGTGTGAGCCAATGATTTGATATTGCAGCTCAAACATGGAGAGTGAAAGTCCAAGGTCTCAGAAGCACAGTTCCCAGCCAGCAGTGGCTTGGCTGGCAGGCGAGCTGGAAAAACACTTTGCCCTGGACATGCCTTGCCTGACAGCAGGTTACAGGCAAGGAAACCTCTGATTTGCAAACCCCTCACATCAGAGCTAGCAACTTTTGGCACCCAAGAAGGCAGAGGGCAAAGACCTTCCTTCATATGGACATCTTTGGAAGACTTCTCTGCTTGCTTCTCACAAACCATAGGGTGCTTCAAGTAACAAATGAGATGAGTTGCATGAAATAGCAGAAGTGCAGTGTGGTATACCCACCCTGGCACTAGGTGCTCACATGAGTGAAGGAAGGCTGGGAAAGAAGAGCAGGAAATCCTTCACTGCCATCACTCTCTGCCTGCAGCAAACAAATTCTCAGCCTGGGCCCTGCCAGGAAACATGCATATGTGGCCAGGCTGGGATGGCCCCTGCTGCCCATCCCTGCCCCACCACTGGGGAGCATGTCACGGGGCTTTCTCACAGCCCCCACCACAGAGCAAACACACACCTCATCACACGACAGGGCAGCCCTCCTTCACCAGCACAAGGAGCCGTGCTGGTGCTGGCCTGCCCTCAGCTCCCAACACCTGCCATGGAAGAAGCAGCAGGGAAAAGCACCCAGCCCCCTTGCCTCAGCTGTCCACCTCTTCCTCCCACCACAGCCCCCCCAGCACAGCTGGCACGGGGCATCTCCAAAAGCTCAAAGCCAACCAGACCAGCCCCTACCAACAACAAAGACCCACTGGGACCCCTGGGCCACGTGAGCAGCAGCACGTCTAGAGCCAGCAGAAACTCCTGGCACACAACCCTGCTTGTGCACGGGCAGGGAATGTTCCCTCCCCAGACCTCACTGCAGCCTCCGCATCACACACTGGCCTGGGCAGGGACACGCTCCCACAGCAGCCACGGGTTCCTTCATCTCAAGAGATCAGAGCTACCTGGAGAACAAACTCATTTCCCTGCCCCTGAGGAAATGCCAAGCCAGCCTGGCTTGCTTGAACCACTTCCTCCACTTCTCTTATGGGTAGTTCTACCGTGGATTAACCACACACAGGGTGGCCATGTGTGTGACCAAAATGCCCAGACCAAACCAGCCTGTACTGTACTGCACAGCCAGACATTGGGCTTTCCTCCTTCCCAAACCCACTTAACCATCCAAGCCTGGTACACAATGGCATGTGAAGGTCAAATCTAGGGTATCACCAATAGGTTTGTAGAGGAAAGAAACACATTGGAGACAGCAGTGCATAAATTGATGTCATAACTGACCTACTAAATGGGTGTGGATCTGTCAAACCCTACACATCGCTGCCATGTGTGCAAATGCTGACAGGTGTTGAAGCAACAAACCCTTCCCCTTCCCAGGCTGGCTCTGTAGTCCCACAAATAACCATTGCCACCTGCCCCTCTAACACATAGCACAGTACTGCACAGTGGGACTGGATGTATACTGTGTTCAGCTTTGGGCCCCTCACTACAGGAAGGACATTTTGGTGCTGCACCATGTCCAAAGAAGGGCATCAAAACTGGTGAAAAGTCTAGAGCGTAAGTCTTACAAGAAGCATGTGAGGGAACTGGGGTTATTTAGTCTGGAGAAAAGGAGGCTGAGGGCAGACCTTACCACTCTCTACTACTACCTGAAAGGAGGCTGTAATAGGGTGGGTGTCAGTCTCCTCTCCCAAATAACAAGCAACAAATTAAGAGGAAATGGCCTCAAGTTGTGCGAGGGGAGGTTTTGATTGGGTATTAGGAGAAAATTATTTACTGAAAGGGTTGTCAGGCACCCAGGGAAGTGCTGGAGACACCATCCCTGAAAGTATTTAAAAGACATGTAGATGTGGTACTCAGGAACATGGTTTAGTGGTGGACTTGGCAGTTCTGGATGGTTGGGCTCAATGACCTTCAGGGTCTTTTCCAACCTGAATGATTCTGTGATTCTGTAACAGCCACGCCTGAGCTGAGGGGGAACATTTCTCAAAACCAGAAAACACACTCTGTGGCTCTGTGCAGAGGCTGAATTTCCCTGCCCACACAGATAACAACAGACGTTCAAGCAAAACAATTGGATAATTAGTTGGAATGAGGTTATATACTCCAGACTTCATTCACTCATCTCACAGCTTTAGTTGTCCTTAAGGTATTTACTGTATTACGACCAGGTCAATCCACCACAGAGTAGGAAGCAAAGGACAGTCAGACCACCTGCAGGGTCTAATTACTTGTTTTATGGTCTGGGTTTTGGAGTGAGCTCCTGTTCTCTCAGTGTCTCCCTCAGAAGATTTATTTATCACTGCTAAACCCAACAGGCAGTCCACCAGTGCCTGTTTATCCAGGACCAACAGAAATTTTCCACATGAGGTCCACTAATCCTTTACATAAACTCGCATGACTGAACATATAAACAAGCATCCCAGAAATAATAATTGCCAAAAAGATTAAGAAAAACATTATTTAATATTTTTATGCTATATTTGTGACTTCTACCTACTCTTTCACCTGGAACTCATCCTACCCATTCAGGTTAGGAGTTCAAAATTTTGCAGTGTTTACTACCAGGACTATCTAGCAAGATGTAGAAAAGTTTTGAAAGGTGGTAAACCACACAGCAGACCATGACTCTATCCAGAGGCACAAGAAATATGTCATGTACTGGAGCTGGAGAAAGAAAGGTGAAGAGGGAACAAACACACTGTGGTATTCCACAACAAAAGCCTCAGTTGAAAGAATCTTGCTATAGTTCCTTTTATGCAGCTTACAAATTCTCAGCAAAACAATTTATAAATTGAATTAATGTCTTGTGCAAAGGATTCACACAACGTAAAGGGTGTTTTGTTGCCTTCTGAAAATAAAGTATCTTCCAGAAAAGCATGGCAGTGTAAAGCCTACAGGTTGTAAATGCAAGGACTATCAGATGTCCTAGGTATTATGCACCTAAATATTGTCTGTCTTTAAAAGTGAATTAAAACAGCATTTATAAAGATGGGAATTATTTTGTATCTTCTTTTTGAAGGAATAATTAAGTAACAGAAATCCGAGTGTTTAACCAGCAATTTGTAATCCAGTGTACTAATCCCTACAGCATGTATCCATCTGCTATCTCTTGATCTGTTCTCAGACTGCTAACGCCTCATATCTGAGACTGCTCCATTTGTACCACACCTGAGATAGGATGGGGCCCTTCCAGGCCCACTGTTGCTCTTGTGCATCCAGTAACACCAATCATAAGCATGTAACCCTAACCATGACACTAATAATTCAGGAATCAATTGTGCTGGCAGGATATATGCAAGGGATGGTAAGAGACCTCCAAGTGCCAAATCCCATGGGATATAGTGTCTGTTGTTTCTTCCCAGGGCTCCATGTTCACACCAGGCAGCAACATGACTTTTCCAGCCACCAGCAAGATTCTAAATGCACTGAGCAACAGTATGGAGGAACACATCATCATGTCCTCACTCAAGATTCTCAGGTGCGGGTATGCACCTTTATGCTGTTATCTGACTCATACCAGGGGATGTCCTCACTGTTCATCTACCTCCTCACATGTTGGAAAAGGAGGTGGACAAGTACTTCAATATTCAGCTGAGTGTCCCACCTCAGTGAAGCCCACCTGACTGCAGGGACCCCACAGGATCAGAAAAAGAGAGGAGACCCATCCTCTGCAGCCATGGAGCCTAGGGGGTAGTGGGGCCAGATGATTCCATTTCTG